ACTTCACAAGGTATTTTCTAGGGTTGTCTACATACTTTTTATGGCACCAGTATTAAAAAGAGCAAAAAAAAACATACAGACGACTTGAGTACTCCTCCTTTTGGGAAGTCGGTCAAAAAGAGATACGAATAAATTAAAAAACATTTACTTAGAGGAGTATTTAATAATGAAATAATAAATTATTTTTAAGGATAAAGAAAAAAAACTTATGTAAACCTCAATTAGTAATACATTCAGTATTGTGAAGGAAATTTCTAAACAATTATTGTAAGATTTTCCCGAGGCACATCCCTGATAAAGTTGTCTCGCCTATGGCATTTGTATATTATGCATGGCGGACTAAAATAGCACGAAGTTGCCCTTCTGTCCGCGTTAGTAGGGTCGCTATTCACTGGTCATTTCTATTTTTCAATTTAGAACGCAAGTTTATAGCTTGTATTTAAACATGGAGAAAATATGCAACCCTGATTTGGTGGAAATGGAGCGTTTAAAGCGAGATGGAAGCAGGTCATTAACATCTTTTTATCGTGCTTACATTCTAGAGGATAGTAAATCATCAAAAAGTAGAGGTCTTTAAAGGTAGCGTGGATTTTATACATTTATGTTACAGATTATACAAATATCTATTTCCATTTATTTAGTTAGGCATTGTTTCCTTAAGAGCCTGTCCCACCACTGGCTGATAGAGACTCAAATAGCTCAAAAATGTTGTCACCGTCAGATAAAGTAACAAAATCCGATATTTCACATATTTTACATGTTGGATTGCTGAGACAATTTACAATTAGGTGGGACATGCCCTTAGTACTTTTCTTTTATTATTACTTCACTATTCTTATATCTTCAATGTCTTCTGATCTTATTTACATTTTTGCCCTCTTTCAAAGTCGATGCGATTTAGTCCACATATGAATTTTGTACTAAATTTTACTAATATTATAAATGGAAAAGTTTAGATGGATGTTTGTTAGTTTGTAGCCTAAACTGCTGAACGGATCTCGATGAAACTTGGCATAGATGTAGAGGATAGTCAACAAAGTTGATAACACGGATGCTACTTAGATTTTTTTAATTTCACACAGACGGAGTCGCGAGCCAAAGCTATCTTAACAATGAAGATAATTTGTTTATTATTGCATAAACACGTCCATTTGCTTGTACGCGTCATAGAGTAAATAATACGCAGTGTCACTAATGATAGAGCAGTAAGTTTAACGATCGACTATTTGTCACTTTATCAACGATATCGGCAGAATTCATTGGGAAATTAGTCAAAGCCGTTAGACGCCTACGTTAGTAATTATACTAACTCAACAACTAGTTTATATTCATGTAGCTTCATTAATATTGGTAGACTAGCTGTTCCCGTGCGGCGTCATCCACAGGAAAATATAAAAAAATATTTTATTGCTTATATTTGTCAAATTGTCAATTGCAAATGTCAAAATTACCGTTACCAATAACCTTTCTTAACGTTGCTAGCTTTTAGGTTATGGCCCCACTCTCACATGGAGGTTTTTTCGAATTTATTTACCCCCTAAGATCAATAGTGTGAAAATATATAGCCTAAAGCATGTCGTAAGTGTAGGGCTTTTTATTATAGAAAGAATTATTCAAAAATATGCTGTGATTGCTGACATCCTACGCCACAAGGTAGTGTGTGTTTACGCTTTATTATATTAGTATAGATTATAGGATATTTTATGTTCCAATTGTATGTTACGATTGTAGCATGAAGATTGGTTCTGTTTAATATTTTGTCCTCAGATAAACGATGTGAGCCGAAACTTTGACTTTAGAATATTTAAATAACATTAGAAATTCATCTCTTGAGATAGTTATGTATGTTTTTATAATTGTACTAGCTTTGACATGCGATTCCCTTCGTGCGGTATAAAAAAAAAAACAAATGTTAGTATCACATGTGTTCTAGACTGTGCTCTACATCAATGCAAAATTTCATTGCAATCATCATAACTTCAAAGCTTCATGACTTTCGCATTTATAATATTACTAGCTTTCGCCCGCGACTTCGTCCGCGAGGAATTAAAAAAAAACAAAAGTGGATAGCCTATCTGTTCTTCCAGACTATCATCTACATTCATACCAAATTACATCGAAATCCGTTCAACCGTTTAGGCTACAACACTAACAAACATCCATTCATCCATCTAAACTTTCGCATTTATAATATTAGTAAGATTAAATTATTTTGTACTTGGTAGTTTAAAAAAAATAAAACACAGTTTCACGTACAATCATTTTAAGAGAAGTAGGCAAGTGATATTTTTAATAAGTCTAAGCCATTTTCTCCTAAAGATCTTCCTAAAGGAATTATTAAGATATCATTATATGACAGCAGTCGTATAAAATCTACATAAATAAATAAAACATTGGATACAGGTCGACGCTCCTGTCGTGTACAGATCGATTAGTGTTTGCGGCTTCTAATTAAAACAGCAAATAAAACCAACAAGCTGTTATTTATCACTCCATTGTCAGGTAAATGGACCAAATTCATTGGTAAAATAGAGCACACCTTTAAATAAACTAACAGACAACTGTTAAGCCTCGTTTTAATTTCTATGTGCGTATTATGGGCGTCAAAGCCATGTTATGTTTGTTGCCTAAGATGTCAGCAATTACAGCATATTTTTGAATAATACTTTTTTAATAAAAAGCCCTACACTTACGTCACGCTTTAGGCTATATATTTTCACGCCATTTAACTTAGGGGGTAAATATTTTGGCTGAAAAGCCTAATGTGGGAAAGAGACCATAACTTACTGCCTTCATCAAGGAAGCAAGGTTGTCATCATGTCATGTCATTTTGACATTTGTAATTGATAATTTAACAAATGTAAATAATAAAATATTTTTTTTATAACTTCATGCGGATAAAGTAGCACGAGAACAGCTAGTTTGTTATAAATTGTACGTTACATCATCTATCTATACTCAAAGATAATACCGCTCAAACGCTTTTACGCCTGTCCCTGATAAGATATCGACCAAATTGAATAGAACGATACATTTATGATCTTCGTATAACAATAAAAATACTAGCTTTTGCTTGGATTTCATTCAAATGGAAATAATATACATTGAAAGTAACATGTTTAACTAATTATCTATTTTTAGGGAAAACTAATGTTTAAAGGAAGTATTGTTTTTTTGTAACTATTGAAAAAATTCAAAAATTCTTTCACCTTTAGAAAGGTAATTTATCTGTGAGTAATATCTTTTTAATTGCACGCGTGCGAAGTCGAGAAGAAAAAATAGTTCATGTTTTTAAACATAAAAGAACTACAATTTTCATCAACATCTTCGCACGAATGGGCCGGCTCGATCGTGTAACACCACGACCACACAGAAAACAGGCGTGAAGGGGTAGCAATTCCGCGTTTCGTCTGAGGAGTGTGGTGCCGGAGGCCTAATTTTAGTCCCTTTCCCTTTCCACCCTTTTCTTAAGAGGAAAGGATGGAAAGGAAAGTGGATTTGACGGTGGAGGAGACGCAGGAAGGGGAAATGTCCTCTTTATGTGCAACGCATCTGCAATTGCGGATGTTTATGGGTAGTGGTCGCTTTCCATTTCGGTGGATTCAGGTGGCCGCTTGCTAGTTTGCCACCTTATGTTATAAAAAAAACAATTATATAGTAGTCGATGTTTGTTTAGCAATTCATGACTTTTGTAACCGTGACGCAAGACAAACGGAGAGTCCTCGAGTGGCTTTTAACTTATTATCAGAACGGTACACTTGAATATGAAAAACTGTTTCGATAAGTTATCACTTACTCGCTAGCGACGCTCGTAAACATAATGAATATCAATACTGAACTATATCATTGCCCACGACTTCGTCCACGCAATATTAAGATAAAAAGTAGCCTATAACATGCCCGTCTATGTCACCTACTCTTTAGTGAAAGTGCGGTCGAAATCGGTCCATTCATTTCGAAGATTACTCGGAACAAACGTGGCTTGCGGACAGACAGACAGACAAAATATTTTTTAATGCGATTTTCGTTATCAGCGGATCAAATCAATCTTCCCGAAATCTGAAATTTTTCTTTTGACATTACAAACACTCAAATTTTATTATATGTATCGATAGATATAAGACTACAGTCTAATTAAATTGGGAACGAATTACTAATATGATATGAGAAATTTTATTGAATCTGTATGAAGGGTTTTCGACTTTTTCGACTTCAGAAACTTGTCGACAAAGGTGTTTTTAACGAAGCTTTGATTTCATGAATCATGGTGAAGCGTTTAATACATTCCAAATTCAAATTTCAAAGATATTTTCTATGTTTTCCCTTTAATCGAAGTATTTCAAATGTCTGCATTGTTATGTTAGCCTAAATATTAACACTTACCTTTACTGGTGACGACGACAACCATAATTGGAATAGGTCTGACGTCACCGATGTACTTCTCGCTTCGTGATGAGGCCTTGGTGATAATGGTCCGCATGACGTTATATTATGTATCCGGTTTAATTCGTCTGAAGACGCACATTCCCTTAAATATCTTTCCAGAACTTTCGGTTTGTTCTCTAATATTCTCTTCAATTCATTCAATTCTTCATCAGTACAATCCGGTGAAGATCTGTCTATAACTTCTTTGTATTCGTCACAATGAGTTACTTCGTTAGGATAAGTATCAAATTCGTTATCTGGAATAGATTCTTTACAATAATCATTATCACATTGCGTACTTCCTAGTTCTGTTTCACAACCGTTCTGTTCAGTTATCTCAAGTATTGTTATCGGTGGGTTTTCTTTCAACATGTTTATTTCTGGTTTCCTTATATCTTCAGGCAATTCATATACTAAACGCATTAGCTCTTGTGATCGTTTTTTACTTTCGTCCGAGTGGTTCGCTGTTTTATTGTCACCCGAGCTATCGTTTGGGAAGCTCGTTCCTGTCTTTTTCTCGGATTTGGTGACAACATCGATAGGTTCTTCGGATGTCATGGTTACTTATGTAGTGTTTCTTTAGGGTTGACTGTTTCTGGATTTTTGGTCGACATTTCTTTTTGATATCATTGATTTTTTTTACCTGTGAACAATAAAAATTCAAATTAATTTTATTTTGAATATTTAGATTCGTTGTAGCCATCGAAAACTATTCAGGTTTTATCTAAATCGATATAAGAACGTGTAAAGGTAACATGCAAAACAATTTTTATTTATATTCTAGCTGTTCCCGTGCGATTTTATCAGCATAAAATTATTTTATTGTTTATATGTGTCAAATTGTCAATTGCAAATGTCAAAATGACATGACATTACAAAACTTGACAATCGTGTTTCCTTGATGTTGGCAGCAACTTATGGTCTCTTTCCCACATTAGAGTTTTTATCCAAAATATTTGCCTCCTAAGCAAAATGGCGTGAAAACATATAGCCTAAAGCGTGACGTAAGTGTAGGGCTTTTTATAAAAAAAAATATTCAAAAACATGCTGTAATTGCTGACATCTTAGGCAACAAAGAAGTGTGTGTTTACGCTTTATTATAATAGTATATATAAGAAAGAAAGAAAACATACATGACACCGTATTCGGTAAAACGAAAGTCAAAGAGCAAACATGCCACATTAACTCTTCACCTGTTCTCTTTTCGTACAATCCATTAAGGGTGTAACATAACACCATTTGTTTCGGATAAATATCTACACTAATAGGGTTACCTGATAATGTGACGTAATCAGTGACCCAATTAACTTCGGCTAGACGAGTTTATGTTAACAAGAAAATGTTTTATCCAATGTTTCTAAGATGGTACTTCGTATATTCATACGTTAAGTACTGAATAAGTATAGACTTCGATTTTTAAATATAATTAATAAATCACAATAAAGACTGGCAACACATCTGTATTTCTTCTTTAACATGTCCATTGGTTTTATTTAAAGTTAATTTTTTTTTAATGTTAAATTTATACAATTGACTAGCTATTGCCCGTGACTTCGTCCATGAATATTAAGATAAAAAAGGTGGCCTGTAATATACCCGTCTACGTCAGCTACCCTTCAGTGAAAGTCCTGTCGAAATCGGCCTAGCACTTTTGGAGATTACCCGGAAAAAACGTGGCTTGCAGACAGACAGACAAACATTTTAATGCGATGTTCTTTATCAGCAACGCAAATACATCATCATCCCGAAATCAGGAATTTTTCTTTTGATATTACAGACACGCCAATTTTATTATATGTATAGATAAATATATCACACTAATATTATAAATGCAAAAGTTTATATAAATGGATGGATGGATGGATGAATGTTTGTTAGAGTTTGTAGCTTAAACTGCTGAGGATATTTTGGAAGAACACATAGGCTACTCACTATTGTTTTTTTAACTCCACGCGCACGGAGTCGTGGGCGAAAGCTAGTAGATTTATAAGTGCCTATTTGTAACAATATGCCTTTAAAGGTTGAGCAGTAATATAAGAATAAGATACTAGAGCAAAAAGTCTAAAAGAAAATACACAAAATACTTATTGATTCACGTATTTCCTCGAATGACCGACATATTTCCATGAACGACATTATTTAGACAGTCCCTATCGGTCGCCATTCTTTTGCGGCCTACGTAAATATATGTAACTAGTTTCGGATTTTATTACTCTTTATTGTATACGTATAACTTTGTTTAGTATCCTAAAGTTTTGCAATTTAGTATATTGGTAATCTGGATTTATCTGTTACTAGCTTTTACCCGACACTCCGTCCGCGTGGAAATAAAAAAATGTCAGTAGCCTATGTGTTCTTCCAGACTATCATATACATCTATGTCAAATAACATCGAGATCCGTTCAGCCGTATAGGCTACAAACTCTAAATATCCATCCATCCATCTAAACATTCGCATTTATAATATTAGTAAAGTAATAATCTGTTATTTTAGACAGCAACTACCTTTCGCCCGCGACACCGTTTGCGTGGTATTAAAAAAAAAAAAAACAAAAGTAAATAGCCTATGTGTGCTTTCAGACTATTCTCTACGTCCATACCTCATTGAAATCCGTTCAGCCGTATGGTCTACAAACTCTAACATCCAACCATCTAAACTTTCGCATTTATAATATTAGTATGATAAGAAGTAATTGCAGGGTGTTCCAAAGGGATGAAAATTAGGATTATAATTTTAACTTACATTATTAAACAAGCTGTTGCCAATTGTTCTGTCTCAGATGAAAAAAAAAACCTAATTCCTATTCCACTGTACTCTATTCCAGACTATATATTCTCTGTTTTACATTTTATTAGGGTTGCAAGAGTCTCTCTGTAATTAAGTGGTAACAAACACATATAATCTACCGATTTCTTTTTAATTTTCTTCATAATAAACGAGGGCAAACGTGTGGGGACACCCAAATGCACGACGCCCATGGGACTCTAACACCAGAGGAAGTACAAATGCGATGGTACCTGGCGGTTGTGTCGTGTCGTCCGATAACGAATCTCGATGGTCGGAATCGTTTCAAACAGCTCCTCGTAACAGTCCACGTGGTAAATGCGGTAAAAATAATTTGGTTGACAAATGCAATGTTTTTAAAGACTTTTTATACCTTCCACAGATAAATGGAAGCCATTTGCATACAAATGGAAATACCATATCATTATTCAACATGTAATCCAATAAAATAAAGGGTTTCGTTTTATTGAGCTTAATACAAATGGTAAGTAGCTATTATTTGCATTTACAGATCAACGAAGTTAACTGACCCGGTGGGTATATGTCAAACTAATTTATGATGTCACACTAGTACCCTCCTGTCAGTGTCAAAATAGTAGCAAGATCACTGATCTGTATAAATGGATAGGTATACTTTTTATAGCCAGTCCATTTATAAAGGCCAGTGAATAAAGTCGTGTTCGTACTGTAGCTGTTTTATTTTTTTTAATGCCGTTTACTATGCCCAATCAGGTTTATAGGCAAAACTGTTTCCGACAGAACTATCCGAGATGGTGCTTCTCTCACTAGCCAATGTCCTTGTTTGACAATAACTTTACTGGTCTGTCAGTCGCTTTTGAATTCACGCAACAAACTCTTTTAACACATAAAATGACTATTTTATGCAAAATATCTAGTCTCATATAAAAATATTTTAGCACACAAGCGATCAAAGTGAGAATCTCTTTGGGACAAAACAGCGTTACATAAACATTTTGGCACGAAACAAGTCATGTCACTCGTAAACATTTACAAATCTCGTTTACTAAAAAGGGTAAAACTGTAAGTAAAGAGCATTGTTATTCCAGAGTGTATCTAAGAGAATTACAAAGGCCGGACTGTATTCGTTATCTACTTTCGCTATTAACTAGGGTCACCATGGGTTTTTATAAGTAGGGACAATAAATTGCCATCACTCTCAATGTCCTTCAAAAAAGAGACCAATATGTACAAGTTACTTTAAGATAAGGAAACATTAGTTTAGTGTTGCCTTAAGTTTGAAATTAAAACTATCTATTGCTTTTAACACGTTTACTGTGGCAAGTAAAATCATAATTCGTCATCTAGTGCGCCGGCGGGTCAAAATGAGCCTCCAATATTTCCGCCAGTGCTTGGCAGGTCTTTCTAGACCCACCAGCACTAGGGTAGACTAAATTGCTATAATTTTGTGGAAACATGATGCATACATTTTATGTGATGTAATGTATACACCTGATAATCGTTTCGCACTAGCGAGAAGGACATAGTTTTCTTCGTCGCTTAAGTACGGCGTCACCGCGTCAGGCCGATATCGGCCTGTTACGCAGTGCGCGTTTTAAACTATGCTTACCATGTGTTCGATAAGTCAATCAGTCAATTGGTAAACCATAAATTCCTTTATAAATCAAATACCATTGTGAACTTAGTATTAACCCATCCACGAGGGATTGCGTAACGATCTGCTGCCCCACAATTGCTTTATTGCTCCGTCTTACGTGTGACACACGGCACTTAGCTTCAGCGAACAGCGAACAGAAAAGAATCGTATACGATTTGGTTCATTTGTTAAGAGATGCTTGGAAATATAAGTATATACAGATTGTATAACTTGCTGTTAAATATTTATATGTAAGCCAAATTGTGTAACTATTAGCATTTTTTCTATTAGGATGGCTATTTTAAAACTTAAATTGTTAAATGAGAAGGATTTTTCACGTGGTTCTGAAACTAATGATTTTATTGAACTTTGAGGATTGAATCAACGTATTTCTACTCAAAACTCTTACACAAGTCACACAATCATTCTCTTAAAAATAAGATAGCAGTGTGTCGAGTGCTTCGGTGGTAAGACTGTTCATCCTTAAGGTCCGTGAATCACTTGAGTGGACAATGCACGATCGATGTCGGACATGAATATTTGAGTAGCGCTTCATTTGGAAGTGAGACACGTATAGATGTACAGACCGGGATTATGTCGGTGTTACACCTAAAAACTTACAATACGACGAGGAACAATAGGACGCTTTTAAACATTTTTGGTTTTGTTTTTTAATTTCATTTCAATATTGTATAATTATTTAAACATTGTATTTTTTATTAAGATGTCGTTTTCGCAACTTACTTGCCTAAATGGTTATTTGTAAAAATAGGCGGAGTTTGTCTTGTAAGGAGTTTTTTTATCTGTAAGTGGGACACAGATGTTTTCCGCGGCTGTACACACTTCAAGGTTCAATAGCTTCTAATTCTTTACGATTCTATTGAGATAGGTCTTTCAGAGTTTCATAATAGGTACTCTACATCTATTTTGATGTAAATTACACTATACTGCCAAATTTGAATTTGAATGCAGTTCTCGGAGTAAACTGAATTAATACTCGTAACGAAGTCAACGGCTTAAAAAATGGAGATAAATCCTTTGAAGGCGAATTTTAAAATTTTCAAAGACATAAATGTGCACTTAAAACGTAAGGAAAAAGTGGTATTATATCACACATTTTTTTTATCAAACACAACACAACGACATATCCATTTAGTGATATCTTTCGCCAGGAACTCCGTACGTGTGATATAAAAAAAAACAATAGTGAGTACCCTATGTGTTCTTCTAGACTATTCTCTAC